CGAGTTGATTATTGAGAACCCACTTCATTCTTTAATTATCGATCATGCCATGTGAAATTGAATCCAAAACTCCAAAGTCAATCCCTAAAACACAACTTGACTATATCAGAAGTGATTAAGCCTTGTGAGAGGAGGAATCTCTCTTACCCAGTCACGAAGGAAGCTCAATAGTCAATGGCAATTACACAACTTGTTCTTATAATTCCAAATTCCTTGGCATGTGGGGGATCTCAAACCCCACACTTCCAGCCAAGCACTACCCTCCACGTACCTTAGTCATTTCCAACCTCTCCTCTGCATCTTACAGCGGCAGTGAAAGGGTGAGACTCGGCGGATTCACAGAGTTTCCAACTCCAAAAACCCAAAATTATTGCCTTTTCGAGGCCTAGAGAAGTCCAGCTTCCCATGTGTCGTGATACTATTTATAAGTAACATCCAAATTCACAACAAAAAACAAAAGTTGCAATCCTTTTGTATGTATCTGGCAGTCCGGCATCATCGGACGGCCGCTAACGGTTGCAGCATTTGAGCATAAAGTTTCGAGTTTGATCAAACCAACGCTCGAATCATCGGAAAAATGGAAGTAGAGAACCGAGTTATGGAACCCGGGTCTCCGAAATTCGCGCTGCCGGTGGACTCCGACCACAAGGCCACAGAGTTCAGATTGTTCTCGATTGCCAAACCCCACATGCGGGCGTTCCACCTGTCTTGGTTTTCCTTTTTCCTTTGTTTTGTGTCCAGCTTTGCTGCTCCGCCGCTTATCCCCATCATCCGCGACAACCTCAACCTAACCGCCAGCGACATCGGCAATGCCGGGATTGCGTCCGTGTCCGGCGCTGTGTTTGCCCGAATAGCCATGGGGACAGCGTGCGACTTGTTCGGTCCGCGGCTTGCCTCCGCCTCACTCATCCTCCTTACTGCCCCTGCAGTCTACTTCACTGCAATTGCGTCGTCCCCCATTTCTTTCCTCCTCGTCCGCTTCTTCACCGGCTTCTCTCTCGCCACCTTCGTCTCGACCCAGTTCTGGATGAGCTCCATGTTCTCTCCCCCCGTAGTAGGCACCGCCAACGGCGTCGCGGGCGGATGGGGAAACTTGGGGGGCGGAGCAACGCAGCTCATCATGCCGGTAGTGTTCGGCTTCATCAGGGACATCGGCGCCGTCAAGTTCACAGCTTGGAGAATCGCGTTTTTCATCCCTGCCCTGTTTCAGACACTGTCAGCATTCGCCATCCTGATATTCGGACAGGACATGCCGGACGGAAACTTCTACGGCCTCCATAAGTCCGGCGAAAAGCCGAAAGACAAATTCTCGAGCGTGTTCTACCACGGCGTCACGAATTACAGAGGTTGGATTCTGGCATTGACGTACGGATATTGCTTCGGGGTGGAGCTAGCGGTGGACAACATCATAGCGGAGTATTTTTACGACAGGTTCGATCTGAAACTCCACACGGCGGGGATGATCGCGGCGAGTTTCGGGTTGGCGAATATTGTTTCAAGGCCCGGAGGTGGGATTCTGTCGGATGTTGTGGCGAAGAAGTTTGGGATGAGGGGAAGGCTGTGGACTCTGTGGGTGGTGCAGACCACGGGAGGTGTTTTGTGTGTGATTCTTGGGCGGGTGAATTCTTTGGTTGGATCCATTGTTGTCATGATTTTGTTCTCCGTGTTCGTCCAAGGTGCTTGTGGGCTTACATTTGGTGTGGTTCCATTTGTCTCTAGAAGGTATGTTCTTTTCACAAATATTTTTGGATGTGCTATCTATGCATCTCTTTTTAATTCTCACGCACCCCTTGTTAATTTCTGTTTTTTGATCTTCTTTAATTCACCTGATTCAACGCCTAAAAATTAAAAGTGTGTGTGAGAAGTAAAAAAAAGTGTATGGATATCACACCCCATACTTTTTAATTCATGTGTTGTTTGAGCGGTATTATAATCTAATCTAGGTTATGAAATCATCGTGATTCAAATTTGAGTTCAGAAAAGAGAGGATAAAATATCATAGCGAAGTTAGCTACGCCCATATGGCTAATTAATCTCAACCTCAAATTTTCTCTCGTTCTTGCGAAAGGTTTGTAAATATATAAAACACAAAACTCAAGCAACATTAATTATCTAGCAGATTATTAATTATGCACAAGTTATATTTATCAACAGTGTAATAAAGATGAGCTAGTTATTGTCCACATAAACACCAATCGGAGTGTATAGTTTTCATGGAAGATATTTATGTTATCCTGTCCTACTGTCAGAATGGAGCGATGAAAATTTTAACACGTCAAAATGTTACGTAAGGGTTGGGCTCCATGATGTCTTCTCAAAGTGAAGCAATACAACTTTCAGTCTTTCACATATGATAGTGGATGTTTCTATGTTTAAAGAAAAAGATTTTGAAGTGTAATTGGAGATATATATCCCGATTCTATGTAAGAATCTCTATGAATTTTGACCTTGACCTACACCATTGTGTTGCTACCCATTATTATCTTACCCTAATCACATTTTCATCCATTTCTCTTGGTTTTAATCCCTATTTTCAGGTCATTGGGGGTCATATCTGGAATGACAGGAGGTGGTGGAAATGTGGGTGCAGTTCTGACCCAACTGATATTCTTCAAAGGATCAAAATATTCAAAAGAAACAGGTATAACCCTAATGGGGATCATGATCATATGTTGCACCCTCCCAATGACTTTGATCTATTTTCCCCAGTGGGGTGGCATGTTTTGTGGTCCATCTAAGAACAAGGCCACAGAGGAAGACTATTACATGTCTGAGTGGAGCTCCAAGGAGAAGGACAAAGGCTTTCACCAGGCAAGTGTGAAATTTGCTGAGAACAGCAGAAGTGAAAGAGGAAAATCAGACTCTGTTACCCGACCCTCTGATGAGATTTCACCGCCACATGTTTGATTTACTGCATGCCATCGTTAATGATCTCAACTTGGGAATTCGAAATTTATGTGCATACCTATTAAACTGTTTCAAAATGTACTGTTTTAGTTTAAGTAAATTAGTAGTTTCGATTACGTGCCATTGTGCCAGTATTTGTTACAAGCAAAAAAAATTTATCTAATTAAGTATGGTTTTATTTAGTTAGAAATCTTCTGTGCAGGATATCTGTCTTTTCATAATTGACAGATTATGTTATCATAATATCTATATATTGGCATGTTATGTAATTATATTATCAATGAATTATTTATATCATATTTATGATTCTAATACAGTAAATACTAGTACATGGTAAAAAATCCCAAAAGCTTAAGGGAAGAGAAGTTGGAGTCTAATGGAAGGAGCCACAATTATGGACCAAACAACTTGATAATGAGTGAACCTATACATACGAGAAATGCTAAAGAAACTCTTTTAAAGTAGGATTCTTTGTAGATTCTCCGTCATCTTATATTTTTTGTACAATGTTGTATAACTGTAAGAGAGTTACCAAACTCATCTCGTGTTATATGTCATAATGTTAGTACAGAAATTGTGTTAAAAGTATTAGGTAATGTAAAGTTCGTAAATTGTCATACTTTTGAGAAAACCTCTGTAGTATTTTTCTAAACATAATGATGTTGATTTGACACGAAAATTTCACACCCCAACTTCATCAAAAGCATAAACAAGTAGGGATTGTTTGATCCTTAATCCTTCATCAAAGTCTGGTCTTTCTTAAAGTATTTCTTTTTCTTTTTCTTCCAACAGCCTTCAACTGGAAGAAAAAGAAATACAAACTTTTTGGTTTTGGGCTTGAGAAACCAAATACTAGCTGGACCATTATGGGCTACTGAAACAGGCTTCTTCAAATTGGGCCTCTTACAATGATTGGGCCTCTGATACGGTACATCGTATCGATCCCTTTCACTACTTCGACAAGTCGCATCTCCATAGTCCGTATCCGACAATATACGATCCACATGGCGCCCCACAATTGGTCGCAATGTTGTCAACGCTGAAAGCTCTTTAGGTCTCAACCAAAAAGCCGGAACAGGGAGGAACTGAAAGCTCCTCCGCTTTTCGTATTTATGGTCGTGCCTTCCGTGTGCGGGTAGATATTAGCGACAGCAGACTTTGACAGTTGACTTTGACTTTTCTCCAATTTGTAGCACATAGACATTAGCGACTAATTATTATATGTCATTAGAATACGGCTACCCAAGTAGAGGTAATTTATTTGAGATTACAATGTGAAATTGTATGATTTCTACGTTACTTCACAGTTTTATAGTGTAACGTTAATTTTCGTGTCAATATTATAAAATATTGTGAAAAAAAATGAAGTGACAGAAAGTCTATAAAGAATCTTACTTTTGAAAAAATCTTCTTGATATTTATCTACAATATATATATATATTCTAAGTTGAGCTAATACACATTAATGATACATTTACCCATCTTTAAAAATCAGAAACCATGAATTATTATAACCACCCCAACCCAAAGAGTCCAATTCTTTAAAAATCAAGAGTTGAGCTCCAACTATTGTACGTATGTGACAATCCCACTTATTTTTTCTTTATCACATAACATATCAGTAACCTGTAATTGAAACTCGATTTTTAATGATTTTGAATATGCAAAATATAACCATTATTCCAATTACCGACAAAAGAGCAGGTTGATGCTACGACGGTATAATGATATTATTCTCTACATAGAAACGAGAGGTAAATATATTGATGTTGTAACATCCCACATCATCCAGGGGAGTGATCATTAAATGTATATTCTCATCCCTACCTAGCACGAGGCATTTTGGGAGCTCACTGGCTTCGGGTTCCGTAGGAACTCCGAAGTTAAGCGAGAGTGAGCTAGAGCAATCACATGATGGGTGGCCCACTGTGAAGTTGCTCGTGAGTTCCCAAAAACAAAACCATGAGGACGTGGTTGGGGCCCAAAGCGGACAATATCGTGCTACGGTGGTGGAGTCAAGCCCAGGTTGTGGTGGGGGCCCGGGTCAGGATGTGACAGATATGCCCCAGATCATGTTCACCACCTGGTTTCTCCATGACTCACCGAGTTACCACCATATCTGTGACCATAGCTTACTCGTTTTCAACAATATTTTCCAGTTTCCAAATTCAGAAAACAACCACATCACCACAACATTTTCTTGAATTCCAAGCACCCCATTACACATATATCATTCAATCCAACCATTTTTCGACAACTTTGTACCGAATCAAACTCCAACATGTCCAATATTATCTTACTTCTGTTCCTTCCTCTGTTTTTGTTTCTAAATAGCGCTCGTTCTGACCCGAGAGCCACACAGGCAGCTATGATATGCACAAACGACACCGCTCAGAACCCAGAACGTCAAACCTTCGTCTCCAACTTCTTAGCAGCCATGGACGCCGTCACCCGGCAGATTGCCACCCGAAGATACGCCAGCGTCGTCACAGGAACCGGAAACGTAACCGTTTTCGCCTTCGGCGAGTGCATGAAAGACCTCTCCAAAACGGACTGCGACCTCTGCTTCGCCCAGTGCAAAACCAAGATTTTAGGTTGCCTCCCGTTTCAGAAAGCAACTCGTGGCGGCCGGCTTTTCTTCGACGGCTGCTACCTCCGGTACGATGATTTCGATTTCTTCAACCAGAGCTTGAGTTCCCAAGACAGGACCGTTTGTGGGGACAGAGATTTTGGTCGGAATCGGACAGTTTTTAAGGATAATGCTTTGAGGTTGGTGAGGAATTTGAGTTCGTTGGCGCCGAGGAACGATGGGTTTTCTGCTGGGTTTGTGGTGGGTGAAGGGAACGTTTCCGTTTACGGGTTGGCGCAGTGTTGGGAGTTTGTGAAGGGGCCTGGTTGCGAGGAGTGTTTGGCTGACGCCGTTAAGAGAATCGGATCTTGCACTCCGAAAGAAGAAGGGAGGGTTTTGAATGCTGGGTGTTATTTGAGGTATTCGACTCAGAAGTTTTATGATAACAATACAATCACCGATGGTGCAGGACGAAACGGAGGTTAGTTTTTTTTTTTTTTATTCGAGCGATATTCTAATCTAATCTGAACTCCGGTTATGCGAGGCGGACTGCTCTAGTTTGGTTACTTGATCTTTTTACATTTTCTTGGTTACCGTCTAAGAATATTTGATAAAGTTCAAATTTTTGTAGTTTGGATTCAAATTTCGGACCATCTGATTCGACTTTAGAGTTCAATGTGATGAATGGCGATGATTTGTTTGTTAAAGTAGGAAACTTGACATTGTTTGGACTTGTAAATTTTGGTTTTGTGTTGTTAACTTAATTCTGCAATCTGTTCCTGAGTGATAATGTTCATATGCAAATTGTTTGACAGGACGCCGTGGCTTGGCGATAATTTTGGCCGTAACATTTGCTGCATTTGCTGTTGTGCTTACTATTTCTGCAGTTGCTTTCTTTGCAAGGAAGAAAATACTGAGGAGGAGGAAAGGTACTGGGGTTTTGGTTTGAAACTCTGTTTAGCTTCTTCTATCTTTAAGCATTTGATCAAATTTGTGTTCTTGTTTTAATTTCACAGCTGCTTCAGAGAAAAAGCAATTCGGAGCTCTGTTTGCCACTGTGAACAAGTCCCAACTCAATTTTTCATACGAAGTTCTCGAAAAGGCCACCAATTACTTTCATGATACCAACAAGCTTGGACAAGGAGGATCTGGCTCAGTGTATAAGGTAATTTCTTCCTTCGTTCCGCTTAGGTATCAGATTTCATTGTATGGAATTAACTTGGGAATTTTCTTTATTTTACACACAGGGAGTTCTGCCGGATGGAAATGTTATTGCCATAAAGAGGCTCTTCTTCAACACAAGGCAATGGGTGGATCATTTCTTCAACGAAGTTAATTTGATCAGCGGAATTCATCATAAAAATCTTCTGAAGCTGTTGGGGTGCAGCATTACAGGGCCCGAGAGCCTTCTTGTTTATGAGTATGTCCCAAATCAAAGCCTTCATGATTATTTTATTGGTAATTTTCTCTTCTCCATCCTATTTTCGGTAAGACACTTTGGTTTTTTGCATCATCAGTCCATTTTCGCATTCTTACAGTTCATTCCTCTATGAATTCTCAGTGAAAAACAATGTGGAGCCACTGAGGTGGGATTTGAGGTATAAAATCATACTGGGAACAGCTGAGGGCTTGGCCTATCTTCACGAAGAATCGAAATTGAGGATCATTCATAGGGATATAAAACTGAGCAACATTCTGCTCGATGAGGAATTCAATGCAAAGATTGCTGATTTTGGACTTGCTAGAATGTTCCCTGAAGATAAAACTCACATAAGCACTGCCATTGCTGGCACACTGTAAGTTGCGCTCTGCCTGTTTTCGTTTTTATTTTCTGCTCCAAAGACTTGTTTATGGTTTCTAACATAGAAGAATACTAAATTTTCTTGCTTAGAGGTTATATGGCTCCGGAGTATGCTGTTCGTGGCAAGTTGACCGAGAAGGCAGATGTTTATAGTTTTGGAGTTGTTGTCATCGAAGTCATCTGTGGAAGGAGGAACAATTCTGTCTTTTCAAGTTCGACTTCTATCCTACAGATGGTAAACAAAATTGTTTCTCTTGCATATCTGCTAAATTTATATTTCGTGAACAAATTTTCACATCCACTTTCAGTAATCATAATTTAACCTTCTTTTATCTTATTTCATAAAGACTTGGGATCTTTATGGAACTTGTAGGTTACGTGAAGCTGTCGATCCACTCCTAGAAGGTAAGTTTGAAAATGAAGAAGCATCTCGGTTACTTCAAATAGGGTTACTTTGTGTGCAAGCTTCAGCAGAGCTGCGGCCGGCAATGTCATTAGTCGTGAAAATGCTTACCGAAAATGTTGAGATTCCTCAGCCAACACAACCCCCATTTCTCAATTCTGGTAGCGCAGAATTCAGCAGGAGAATTCCTTCAGGAAGTTCCAATTCTCTGCCCGTGGAGTCTAACACGCAATCTTCGAAGAATAGCATGACCCAAAGCTGGATTGAGCCGAGATGAACATTTTGTATTTGTCTTCATCCACAATGTAAATGTTGCGAGTTCCGATGATCTATGAGCTTAAGCAATCCCTACAGACTTGTGAATGTCAAATGATCCAGCCCGCAGCTCCTAGAGTCTAATTACAGTCAAATTTTGTGCAACTTCTATATGTTTTAACAACATGGGTAGGTAGGACTGAATGCCCTTTGTAAAATATATGTAGAGAATTATATTATTGATATGCAATCTTTTATCTTGAAACGGTACGATTGTTACATTGTCACGTTATCGGTTTTCTCGTAATAAACTTTTCGAACTTTCTTTGTATTAGGTAGTTTTGATGTACTTCTCGAATAAAATCAAAATCAAAGTTACGAAAGTGGGACTCTATTTCTTTATTTTAATATAATATATATAATTGGTTGAATCAGCATTTTCAAATGTCGGTGAGAATTATACTGAAACAAGCAACCATACTAAAGTCAAAGTTAATACAAAAAATAATCCAAGATTAACAGTTAATCAAGGAATAATGACAATGCCAGCAGCTCTTGGGGTGCACATGCAGATCAAACTGCAACTCCTACAATTTTCAAGAACCGCATTGAATCCATCGAATTTTACGGAATAAAATATCATATTATAATTTATCTGGAAAGCACAAAAACTAAATATAATTAGTCCGGCACTTTTTCTCCGCGAGACTGGTTCATAAATTAATTAGATATGTCTTCTGGGTTAATTAGATAGTTACAATATAACAACAGCAATAACATTAATAATAGCAATACTTCCTCGGAATATTAATTTGTGTGCATCTGTTAATTATTTGGAACGGTGATTAAGACTAAATGTTATTGACTTATTATATATTGTAGTGGGTGGTTTGTTTTCACGTTGAATATGTCATCCGTGCCAAAGAGCTATATATGAGTAGAAAACAAGGCATCAATATGAACATTATCTTTCCAGAGCAACTTGTGCTGAGCTAACAGCCCTTGTTGAATTTTGCTGGGGATGAAAAAAAAGAAAACTGTAACTGGCACTTTCACAGTTAGATGTTAAATTTATCACAAATATATATTATTTTCGTCATGCAAATGTGTTGATCCTAAAATTACAGAACCTACGTGGCGCGCAGGCCAAGTAACTAATGAGCTAACTACGTCATTTGGTTGATGCGGGGCGTGCCAACTCGTCGGCCGAGGTGTAAAATTTGTTGATGTTGCGTTGAGTGCATTGCTGACTTCTTGATCTTGCGACTGCGGCCGACGAAGGAACAAGTCTCGGCCTTTGGATTTTCAAGCCTGAAGACAAGGATGCTAATTCTGCGAAGTTCACAAATCGTCGGCGCCGGATTCGGTCACAGTGATTATATTCGTGAGAGTATAAGCACGTCGAATCGACACCAGACTATATGGACACAAGTACTCAAAGGTGATGTATATCTTGATGGTAAATGTGGTTCGACCGTTGGAATGCCGAACTCTGAAACTCACTTGTGAGTATCCAATCATAAAACCACTCGGCGTTCAATGTGCCGAATGTCGTAATTCGTAACACCTTACTTAGCCGAGAAGGCTAATAAGATGACCTCTGCCAATAAGGATTCAGAAACCCTTCTCGACCGAGACTTGGATAGGTAACCAGTCGGCCTCGACGTAGTGCTGTTTATCTAAACTGAAGATGTTTGCCGGTTGCCTCCATAGTGTTGTTTATCCAAACTGAAGGTGTGTTGGCAGAAAAAGAAAATAAAACAATTCTCAAGTTGTTTGAGAAGTTTGCGCAGGGCAATTGTGTGCTGAATTGGAGAGGGTTTGAATTGCACACTCCGTTCTTTATTTATAGCAGCAAGAACAAATCATAATCATACTCGAACTAGGACTCCTTACCCCAATCCATCTTATCTCGGCCAATCCCACTTCTATTAGGATTTTGAATTCAACCTCTTATTAGGCCACATTCACTTCCACTTACCGGTATCCTTATCTGGCCGAGAATCCTTATTGCATCAGGACTTAACCACTTTATTCATCCGCTTCGCAATAAGGCCCACCTACTTCCTATTTATTTGGAATATTCTTTTCCCAACTAGGGCTTGGCCGACCTTAGTTAGGCGGCCCATGAATCGGTTGGTTTGTAGAAATCCTCGAGCAGAGCTTTTGGGCTGTGAACAATTCCATACTCGGCCCAGCTCAATAATTCTAGTTCTAAACAATATGAATCTTTAATATTCTGTCAACCAACTAAGCGGGTAGAAATATCACTAAATCAAAACGAGTTTGTAAGGACAACTAAGAAGCAACAACCAACAGCTATTAAACGACTTATTAGTAGATTAATAGATCACTTCGGAAAAATTGTGAAATATTTGATAGGATCGATTTCGGAAACGTAGATCACAAGAGATTTATTATTACGGTAAAACTGTAAAATGGAGACATTCATTTCTCACAACAGTCAAATGAACCAACTACTACCGGACATAGCTACCCCTCCTACACACATACATGCATACATATTTGTGTGTGTGTGTATAGCTGTCGGCTTTTCGGTCCAACACCGCGTAGTTTCCACTTTCTCCTCCCTCAGTCTTCAGTCTTTTGATTTGAAAGTTTGAAGTTGAATAGCAAAGAGGAAGCTTTTCCAGTACAGCCCTAGATCACTCTTGACTTCTCATCTGAACATATTCCAAATTCTTCGAGTTGGCTTTTCTCTCTTTAGCTAGCTAATTCATTTCACAACAGCAGAAGCCAAAAGCCAAAAACCAGAAGCCAGAAGTCCTCGATTAAGCTTCTCACCTCACCTGCAGGAACTCATAGTTTCACTGATCCAATGCCAAAAGGTACGTGTACATATATATTTATAGGTCTCGTGTTTAAGGAAAAAATCGAATTTTCATGCCCTCAAAACTTTGCCTACAACTTCTTCATTCTTTTCTTCTCTCATGGATTGATTTCTGAACCAAATCCTGGTAAGAATTCCTTGACAGTTTAGTTATATACGTATTTCTATCTGCAATTCATACCCTTTATTTAGGATCTAACTCGAAAAAATTCAATTATAATCTGGTCTATTCCTGCTGGCTGCAGCTAATATGGACGTAGGGAAAAATCCTTTATTTTTGCATTTATTAGCTGTTCAGTCTAGGTGCCTCTATTGATGACTGCCGATGCTCTCATGTTTCTCAAGCAAGCTGCTCTGAACGCAATGACGATATGTCATTGATAACATGTTAATATCATTGCCGCTAAATAAAAAATGTATCGACATGTTATTAGTACTGATCACTAAATTTTCTACAATACCAGTATAGTATCGATAATAAGCTGGTGTTAAGCCAGCTGCCTACTGAATCAAACTTCCAATTCATCCCAAAAAAATGAAGAAATGCAACGTTTCAGTTCTTTCCCAACATTTGCTTCCGCTGAAGATCCTGCTGTTACTAGGAATGGCTGTCGGAGATCCAAGAACGAAGACGGTACAAATAATGTGCGGCAACCAACGTGAGCACAACACAACTGTGTTTGTTCCGAATTTTGTCGGCACGATGAATAACATCAGTGAACAAATGCGAACTTCCGGCTTCGGAGTGGCAGTCACCGGTTCAGGCCCGGACACCAACTACGGCCTAGCTCAATGCTATGGAGACCTTTCTCTTTGAGACTGTGTGCTATGCTACAACGAGGCGTATACAGTGCTTCCCCAATGTTTTCCTTACAATGGGGGTCGGATTTTTCTCGACGGTTGCTTCATGAGGTCCGAAAACTATAGCTTTTACGAGGAGTTTAGAGGATCGGAAGACAGGGTTGAGTGTGGGAACACCACGAGGAAGAGTTAGGCGTGTGGAGAAGCGGCAAGGCAGGTTGTGAAGCATGCGGTTGAGTCTGCGCCAAGCAACCGGGGATATGCAAGGGGTGAGGTGAGTGTGAGTGGGGCAGCAAACGAGTCAGCTTATGTGTTGGCCGATTGCTGGAGAACTTTGGATAAGAGCTCTTGCAGACAGTGTTTGGAAAATTCATCTGCATCAATGTTGGGATGCTTGCCTTGGTCAGAGGGGCGAGCGTTGTACACCGGGTGTTTCATGAGGTATTCAGACAAAGATTTTCTCAACAAGGAAATGGGAATTAATGGAAGCTCCAGAGGTACATGAAATTTCTACCCCTTTTATATAACACAGGTTCCCTCTAATCACTTTAAGCGCAGGGAGGATAGGCTGCTTCGGTGGTTCGAGAGACAGCCTGTGTATAATTTTGCTCACCTAATCTTCGGAACTTTGTTGCAGGTACCACGATTGTCATAGTAGTTTCAGTTGTCAGCTCCTTGGTAGTTTTGGTAGTTGGAGTAGCCATTGGATTTTATATCTGGAAGCACAGATATATACAAAAGAAAAGAAGAGGTAAAAAGCTAGTAGAAATTCTGCAATGCTATCAGATTGTATTGCTTCAATGGTGAAATTAAAAGATCATAAGTAATGGACAAAATGGTATATTAAATGTAAGAGATTACCGGACTGCTAAAGAATTTCGGGGTTTTGCAGGATCATATGATGCAGAGAAGTGGGCGAAAACCCTAAACGACAGTAGCTTAAACTTCAAGTACTCAACAATTGAAAAGGCCACAGGGTCTTTTGACATTGTCAACAAGCTTGGACAAGGAGGTTTCGGAACTGTTTATAAGGTAGTTTGTCTCCATGTCTTTTGTTTGTCTTAAATGTCTGATGCCTCTGTACTCAGAAACTAACCGGGTTTTCTCCTTGCAGGGAGTTCTGGCTGATGGGAGAGAGATTGCAGTGAAGAGGCTTTTCTTCAACACCAGACACAGAGCAGCAGATTTCTATAATGAAATCAACATTATAAGCAGAGTGGAACACAAAAACTTGGTCAGGTTGTTGGGCTGCAGTTGCTCGGGACCTGAAAGCCTTCTCGTCTATGAACACCGACCGAACAGGAGTCTAGACGGCTTCATCTTCGGTAATTACGTAGACTTATGCTAATTTACACAAATCTTAACTAGGTGGTATGTGCTTGTTTCTGCATTTCCCTCAATGTTTTCAACAAATTTCGAAAGATCAAGAAAGAGCTAAAACACTTAACTGGGAGAGGAGAAATGAGATCATTGTCGGAACAGCCGAAGGTTTAGCCTACCTTCACGACAACTCGAAAACAAGGATCATTCACAGAGACATAAAAGCGAGCAATATACTTTTGGATTCAAGGCTTCGTGCTAAAATTGCAGATTTTGGTTTGGCCAGGTCTTTCGAGGAAGATAAGAGTCACATCAGCACAGCAATTGCAGGAACATTGTATGCCTATTTATAGTAAATTCATTTCAGGTTATTTTAGCGAAGATAAATGAATAAGACTCCAAAACCGTTGAGCTTACCGTTGTTTCTAACCTACCTCAGGGGATACATGGCTCCAGAATACCTAGCTCATGGCCAGTTGACAGAAAAGGCAGATGTCTACAGCTTCGGAGTGCTTATATTGGAGATCATCACCGGAAGGCAGAACAGGAGCAAATCTGCAGAGTACTCAGACGGCACAGTTACAATTGTAAATTTCCCAATAAATTCTTCCTTTTATTCCATTCAAAAGACAATTTAATCTTCGAATTTGCAGTATACAGTAGATCCCCATTCTTACTTCGTTGTTCCTGTGTTTTTTGTCCAAACAGACCTGGAAGCACTTTCAAGCAGGGACCGTAGACGAACTGTACGACCCAAATTTAATGTTGCAGAATTGCCATGACAATGTTAAGGATGAGATATTCAGAGTGGTTCAGATAGGACTTCTATGCACCCAAGAGAGTTCCTCTTTACGACCAACAATGTCAAAGGCGCTGCAGATGCTAACAAAGAAGGAGCTGCACCTTCCTGCTCCCACCAATCCACCTTTTATAGATGAAAAGACCATGGAACTCAATGACAACGGTGACGACCAATGTTACCCTCTAAATGCAGGTGGTGTTTCTTCAGCTGCGAGTGTTTCACATAGTTCTTTCTATCCAAGGTGATCACAACATGGTGAAAAGTGAAAAAGAAACATTTCACAACTTTCCAGGGCTTGCAAGCACCAAGTTCTCCGATGAAGGAGCCGAGGAATCTCAGGCTGCTACTTGGCCCTGCTCAGCTCAGTCAGAGAATACATCTAACGACAAGGTCAAGTTTGAGTAACTGAGACGAAGTACAAATGGCATTCGATGATTTGTAGATATAGTGAGGATGGTTGAGCCAGACTTCAAAGGAAAGCAAATATTATTTCTCAGTTTTCAGAGCCATGCTCTTAAAGATTGATATTCACAACTATGAAAGGAAATGTATGAGGCACAACATCTTTCTTGTTTCCCGAAGGCACATACTTTGTGTTCAACATGAACCAACCGATCGTGTGGCTACTAAGTTCCCCATGAGGCTTCCCCCAATCTCATAATATGTGGCGTTGGGAAAACCTACATCTAAAGCCAGCTTCTCCAACTCGTCCCCTGTGTTCACAGAAAGATTTTAATCAACAAACTAGTACCCTACTATCCGCTTAACCACTCCACTTAACCGCTTATTAAGGCTATGCCTAAAGGCCTCCAAACAGAACAATTCCCAGGAGTACCTGAAAGTTGAAGATACAACGTGTAAACACAGTAGTACAAAGAGTGCTTACAGAGATAAGAACATCGTGTGGTGCATATGCCATAAAAATAAAGAGTTCAAAGCAAGGAAAATGCACCTGTCAGAAATTCCCTGATTGAACTCTTTAAATACTTGTAATCCTCCTCAAGTCCAAAATCAGAAGCCACCGGGACAACAACATTGTCAATCATCAATTCCTAGCAAAGGTTGAATCATGAAGCATTCAGCACTTGTTTGCGAAATAAAAACAGAACGGGAAAATTGGTGTATGCGTTCGAAGGCAAATGTTTATTGTATCTGGTTGAGTACCTGAACTGATGAAACAATTGCATTGGTGCTTTGATTGAAATCAAGGATCGATACCCTCGAGCCTGTAATGGCAAGCAAAAATGAGAAAAAAGTGACATACCTAGAACTACGGCATCATCCATCGAAGGAGAGAGAATGGAACCTGCTTTCAAAACTTTAACATTTCCTCCATGGCCTTATATTTGTCTACTACATTTCTTAGCCCATAACCGATAGTGATGGCATCAAAGTGACGGTCAGAAAACGGCAAATCAGTTGCATCACCTTCAACCCACCTAACAAGATGCAATGCATAACATGATCATTATTCGCATTCAAGAACTGATCACATAAAACCAAACATTTCCAAAGCTCACTCAATGTTCAAGGAGGCAGGCTTTCGACTTCAATTTTTGCCGCAACGAAGCAACTGACAACTGCTCTTTCGAGAAATCGAGACCAATCACCTGCCAATGTAGCCAAATTATACAATCCCAATCACAAACATCAGCTCATATTCAAATTAAATTACCAATCCTTTAGCAAGTTAAAACAAAGAACAAACCTTGCCATTAGACCCAACTTTCTCAGACGAGAAACGCTAAATCCCCACTTCCACAGCACAAATCCAACACACTCTCTCCCATTTTTGCTCTGCAACCCAAAATTGAAAAACTTGAAATTCAGAGACTCAAATATACATACATACATACATACATACATACATACATATATATATATATATATATATATATATATAGGGGACAGATCCGTGACATCATGTTTTTAACACAATTTTTGACACAAGTATCTAGCCATTGAATTAGTCCACTTTTAATGGTTGAGATGATAGGTTGACAATATGGCAAAGGGGTGTGATATCCACACATCCCATTTTACTTCTTACACATCTTTTTAATTTTCGATCATCGGTTCGGATGAATTGAAGAAGATCAACGAACATAAATTATCAAGGGACGTGTGAGAAGTAAAATGGGATGTGTGGATAACACACCCCTATGGCAAATAATTTTATTTCTATTTTCCGAAAAATACATATTAAATATAAATAAAACTTTACAATTATAATTTTCTTTCTCTCTCATCTATCTTAATAGACTTGCACCGAATTGGCATAGTCTAATAACCCATCTTTGAATTCTCGCTATCATCTAATCCTATTTTTGGGGAAAGTATTTTAATCAAATCTCCCTCTCTCATTTATTTCTAATAATCGGTGAAGAACAAGAACAAAAACCCTAATTACGTTTCTCCTTCTACCTATGCAAATCTAATAAGCTTTTCTTTTTCATCATCAATCAATTCATTTCTAATCTATGCTCGTTCAAAATGGCAAAGAGTGGCAGATTTTGCATCAAACTCTCCCTCCATCCTTTAGTATGTGAGATATTATCCTTCTTTCTACCCCAATATATCTCACAGAAAATTCTTATTTTGCATTTTGATTAAAAAAATCAAATTTCTCTCTCATGAAGCTTGACGGAAATCAAATTTGTGAAGTCTCAATAATGTTAATAAAACACAACTAATTTCAAAACATTGTTGGCATAAACTTTAACAAAATACACCCAATTTTCCAAACTATGAAAACTGCAACAAAATAGCACAATTAAGTGACTAATCTATCCTACAAAATTTAAACACCATCACTCTCCACATATTCGCCCAAGTCTTCTTGTTCCTCATTCCCTGATAGATTACAAAATAACAAAATAAAAATATATACATAAATAGGTAACCGAATATTGGAAAATATCAATAAAAAAAGTTAATTCGACTTACATTCATTAGTTGATTCGATCTTTCTTCTTTTCGAATTCGATGGGCAATTTCTTGTGTCATGTCGTATTAACTTATTGCATGAACGACATTTTCTTTTGTTGAGCCAACTCAATACCACTTTTCATCCTTTTCGAACTGCTAATATTGTCCTTCTTTTTACCCCGTTTGTGAGATATTGGGGTCCAAAAGTAGTAGTAGAGAGTCACCTTTTGTTGAGGAAGCAACATTTGCATCCTAACAAGAATTTTCCGCCAACCTTCTTTTCGAACTACTAATATTATCCTTCTTTCTACCCTTAGTTTGTGAGATATATGGGTCCAACAGTACCGGTACAGAAGAGTCAATATTAGTACATGTGTCACCTTTTGTTGAAGAAGTAATGGTTGCATCTTGACAAGAATATTCCGACAGCTTGTTGGATAGTTCATCTATATCTTCCATGAAAATTGTGTATGCCTCATTTGAAGAAGTTGCAGTACAAGCCAACTTAGTTGCTTGATGACACATATGGCTAAGTCTCAAAGCTTCTGATTCTTCTTTACCATCATCCGTCACCAAACTTTTAAAATCCATTATCCTAAATTTGTTTGCTTCTTGCTTCCACCTTGGCAAAATCAAAATGTTTAGGTATTGTATCTACATCCATGCGGACAAATACTTTCAACAAGTGTCTGCAAAGTATTCCAACAAACTCAAAATTTTGGCATTCGCACGTACCTTCGTGTGTTTGCACATTTAGCTTCACCACAAACTCTTCTTGCTCTCCGAGTTTTGATTTCACTACGTATGTGTGATATTCGTTGTCACGTGGCATTTCTTCAACTTTGTACCGATTGACTTTACTCCATTCATCCTTGAATTTATTGAATACATTTCTAGTATACAAACTTGCTGCATGCTGCAAAAGAAATTCTCCTTCATTGACAATGCGATACTTGTGTTTTGATTCAAAATCTTCATCACCTTCTCTTTCCATAATCTTCTTCAGTGCTTGTTCATATTTGACGACAAACTCTCTAAGATTTGTTGTTGGTGTGACAAATCCATCAAAAAAGGAATTAATACCCTCACTACGTCCAGTAGTATTCTTTCCTGCAAAAAAATATTCTACGATTATAAACAGGAACCCAAGAAGAACGCATCTCATATAAACTTTTTAGCCACTCATCATTCTCCAACCCATATTCTTTCATCAAGGCCTTCCACTTTACTTCAAAATCATCAATCTTATATGTCTTTCGAGTACATTTTTTCATCTCAATCTTGAACTTGGACTTCTTGAAGTACACATGTGATAGTTTTTCAACAAACTTCTTCTTGATATGCCATAGGCATAATTGATGATGAGTGTTTGGAAAAACCTTGGCAATTGCTCCTTTCATTGCCAAGTCTTGGTCAGTAATAATTGTAATCGGATGACGTTCTCCCATTGCTTCAAGCCATGTCTCAAACAACCATAAAAAGGTAACTTCTGTCTCATCTTGTAAAAGTGCAAACTGTTTTGACTGCCAGTGGTGGTTTACTCCAGTGAATGGTGCGAAAGGCATATCATAAACAACCATAAAAAAGGTAACTTCTGTCTCATCTTGTAAAAGTGCACATCCAAATTGTATTGACTGCCAGTGGTGGTTTACTCCAGTGAATGGTGTGAAAGGCATATCATACTTGTTTGTCATGTAGGTTGTATCAAATGTAACAACATCACCAAAATAGTGATAAGCCATGCAGGACCAAGCATCCACCCAAAAGAAATTAGTTGCTCTTCCGTTTTCATCACATTGGATTGCATAAAAAAATGAGGATTTTCAGCTTGCTTTTTCCTGAAATAAGTAAGCACTGACTGAGCATCACCTCCATCTAGTTGTCTATGTCGGACATTTCTTAAGTGGTTATAGCAATCTCTTTTGTTAAAGCGAATATGTGTGCCACCAAAAATTGAAGAAACTTTTGCAATTGGCAAATTTTCTTCATGAAATGTTTCAGTGAGAACTCTAGCAGCTTTGGGCATAACTTTGTTTGACTTCATTTTCATTCTTCTTTCTGGTGTAACTGGTTTGTGGTTGTGAACATCTTTGAACATTGAAATTTTCCATTTGTTTGACCATCTATCATGTACGATTCGCATACTTGCTTTACACCCACATTTCACCGCAGAACAATTCTTATTCATTTTCTTCATATTCTCAACTATCTTCATTCTCTTCTAAAGTCTCATGTACTATATTTCTCGAGACATGTTTCCCTTGATGTGCACAAACAAATTATCTACTTGTTATATCGTCTGAATGGCTTCTTATCATGGATGAAGATCGAGTTCGAATCCAAAATCCCTCTTGTTGGCCATAATCTTGATAATAGTTTCTAGCCTCTTCCATTGTGTCGAAAAGCATCCTTACATATGGAGTTTTGAAGCCTTTTGAATTCTCATTTGGAATACATGTTTCATCATTCTCGACTTGAACTGTGTCTTGTACCTATTAACGTATATTAATCATGCACAATGATCCAAGTTAAAAAATACATGATAAATATATGCTTAATGTACTACGAACATAAACGCTGATTAGAAAAAGCAACTATAAACTTTTATTAAAATAAATACTAAAGGATATTAAATTGAGTACATACTGGAGACATGGAGGGAGAGTTTGATGCAAAATCTGCCATGCTTTCTGTCATTTTGAACGAGAATAGATTAGAAATGAATTGAGTGATGATGAAAAAGAAAAGCTTATTAGGTTTGCATAGGAAGAAGGAGAAACGTAATTAGGGTTTTTGTTCTTGTTCTTCATCGATTATTAGAAATAAATGAGAGAGGGAGATTTTATTAAAATACTTTCCCCAAAATAGGATTAGATGACAGTGAGAATTCAAAGATGGTTATTAAACTATGCCAATTCGGTGAAAGTATATTAAGATAGATGAGAGAGAAAGAAAATTATAATTGTAAAGTTTTATTTATATTTAATATGTATTTTTCAGAAAATAGAAATAAAATTAATTGTCATATTGTCAACCTATCATCTTAACCATTAAAAGTGGCCTAATCTAACGGCTAGATACTTGTGTCAAAAATTGTGTAAAAAACATAGTGTCATGGATCTACCCCTATATACCCCTATATATATATATGGATGTATGTGTGTGTGTGTGTGTCCATATATATATATATTCCACCAAAAAATAGAGCAAAAAAAATAATCAATTTCAAGTTTTACCCGTTCAACGAAACTGCCATTCTTTTCTATATTCGATGTTGACCCCAGCTCTATAAATCATTTAACCAAAAATTATTTAGAAAAATAGAAGATAAATATTTAGGCAGATTAATTATTAACAAAGAAAGAAAAAGTGACATTACAATTTAAAATAAAAAAAAAGGAGAGGAATCGAACGTTATCGTAGACAGGGGCAATGTGGTTGAAGAGCGTCTGGCGTTCAGTGGTGGACTGGACCGAACTGCATTTGAACTGGGAAATGGGTAGGCACGGATTGGCTGAGAATGGAAGATGTAACTAAAGCGAAGCCATGTCAATTAGTGTCAGTTACTGAAACAACAGCGGGGAGATGCTCATTCTAAGATTAGTGATCGGATAAGAGGGTCCAATTCATGAGAGTTAGAATCCGGTAAATTATGGATCGCCGGTTCTAAAGTAAGCCTAATGTTGGTAAGCAATATCGGTCTGAGCCCAATAGTGATGCATAGACTCACTTCGTCGAGAAGGCTGATGAGATGACCTCTACCAACAAAGACTCGAGATTCCTTGTCGACCGAGGCTTGGATAATAACTAGTCAGTCTTGAAGCAGTGATGTTTATCCAAACTGAAAGTGCTCATTGGTCGGTTTATTCTACGGCTCCAGTGCTGTTTATCCAAACTGAAGATGTTGCTGATTGCCTTCACAGTGCTGTTTATCCAAATTGAAGATGTGTTGGTGAGAAGAAAGGGGAAGAGGAAAAAAAAATCTCAGGGTTGTTGAGAAGCTTTGCGCAGGGCAAGTTATGTGTTGATTTGAAGGGGCCTTGAATGATGCACTCCCTTCTTTATTTATAGCAGTAAACCCCTTTCACAGTCGAATTAGAAATGTTTTCTTTATTTATAGCAGCGAACCCCCTTCATAATTGAATTAGAAATGTACTCGAATTAGAATTCCTCAACCTAATCTGAGAAGGTTTCAGCCAATCCTAACCCCTATAGGACTTTGAACCAAGCTCTATAACGAACCAAATTCATCTCCTAATTCTAAACATTTTTAGCTTTAAGACTCCTTGCTGCATTAGGGTTCGACCACTTCACCCTTATCGAAAGCAATCCTTATCGTAACAAGATTCAGCCAATCTTGAGTGGATGACCTGTGACAAGATTCTAGATGAATGCTATTGGGTCGAGAATGACTTTAAGCTCGGCCCAAAATATTATTTTGGGCCCAAACATTGCCCCCTCGCTTCTAAGGTCTTTGGCCTGTAATCTCTGGTTAAGCCTTGACCTTGAAGAAGTGATCTATTGCCAAGGAACAAACCCTTAACATATTCCTTCCAACACTGCAAGCCTCGAACACTTAAACCACTCAGACACATTTATTAAGCACGATCTCCCACCTCTATCATTTTTCTCAAAATGCTGCAAAAACTGACACGTGGCAACTTCACATCGCGATTGTCCATCTTCAATAATGCATACCCTCACATGCAGACACTAAAACGTCTCATCGTCATAACCCTCCCCGTCACACCCAATCGTGCATCCTTAATTTGTGTGTTTTTTGGTCCTTTCACCTGGATTTTTAAAGATCCGTCATGATTGTAAAATACTTCGGTTAAATCTACCCCTCATTCTTTAAAATTAAACTGTTAATCTTCTTCCCAATTATTTATAAATACTCAGCCCAACTTCACATGATCTTTTACGCTTTCAAATTTCTAGATTTTTCTGCCATTTCCAAAACTTCTTGCTATTTGCTCTGACCCCAGAAAAGAAACTAAACTTTAAATACCCATAAAACCCTTCAAACCTTCATTAATGGCTACCAACACCTTCATCACCAAGCTCGCCAAGGAATGCAACAAATGTCGAGACTTTATTGATCAGAAAGCCATCAAAACCCTCCGATTCGAAGGTGATTCAAGCACCTCCCACCAGATTATGGGACCAATTTTTAAAGACGACGTCCCAAAGCCCATCACCAAGATACTGAAGGCTTACTGCCTAGAATCCTTGTTCTAAGGGTATGATTGGTCGAAGTGGGAATCGGCAAACCCCAAGGAGCCTGGCCCTCGACCCCCGTGACCTGGGCTACTTAGGTCACTTGAATGAAACCACATTTTGGTGGCGAGTGGAAGACTCTTGGTATATTCAACGTTATCAAGCTCTCAACCTTTGAGATTAGCATGGATCGAGAGTTCCTGATGGCTGTCTTGAGCTTCTGGTGTTCAGCCCCTGACACTATGGTTCTTCCTCTCAGCTCCATCGATCCAATCGTGCTGGATATCACAACCATACTTGGTATTTCCCCTTCTGGTCTCCCAGTTGATGCTGTTATTTCCCAGTACAAATTTGACCTGGACTTGAAAATAGTTTTTGATAAGCGTGCCGTCGAAGTCTTAATGAAGAAAAATCAAGGGTCGTCGAAAGAAGATATACAAAAACTGCACAAAAATTTATTAAACTACATCACTTTAATCAACCACTTCACAGGCTCGGAGGGGGAAACTCTAAAAAAATGAGAGCATGAGGCCTTCTTGTTCTACTGGTACAATAAATTTGTCTTTTGTACCAAGTCAAAGAAGTGCTTGGCCGAGAATATGCCAGTGCTTGAAGCTCTAGCTAGTGGCCATGTTCTGGCCTTTAGCTCGGTCATCTTTGCCAACCTCAACCGGTGCTTGACTGAGGCTTCTGTTGGGAAAATCGACCCACAACAGAATGGCCCACTCTGGGTCTTCCAACTCTGGTTGCAAGTCTACTTTCCCACGCTGAGGCCAGAAATCCCAAGCTTCAACTCTTCCAAAGCGATGGGTCTCCAACTGGTCTCGTGCCCCTTTCCTGCTCACTTAGTCGAAGAGATCTTTAAGTATTTCTTTGGCTTCAAAGATTTGTCAGACGATGAATTTGTGGTCTGCCATCGCCAGAAATACCCGTATTTCATCACACTCCTAACATCGGCATAGGAAGAAACAAAAGAAGCTGACCTTCGACAGTCTTGGGGGTTTTTACCCTATCTTTAAGTTTACCATCCCAATTTCTTGGCTCGTCAACTAGGTTTTCTCTAGGGTTGTCCTATGCCACTCCTCATTTCTCGCTCTTTCTTCAGCCGAGAACGCCTATTCGGCTCCTCGAAGAGAGAGTGCGAGGAAACTGAGAAGGAGTTTCAAGAACGATGTACAAAATTCCACCTTCGGTCGAACACTCCAGAAACCCATTATACTAGCACCTTCGTCGATTAGTGGGATGCTTACATCAAGGATTTCTTCGATGTTTCGATCGAGGAAACTTCAAAGAAGCTTTTTGGCGATCGGCCACAAAAGACACTTGTTCCAAAATCCAAAGAAATGACTTAAGGTATACATTTTTTTATTTCTTTGCTCGCCTATCCGAACTTCATTCTGACTTAAGTTTAGCTTTTCCAGGTGGCCATGTGATAAAGTGGCTGATGTGGTTGTGATGGTCGCGACCAAAAAGAAACTTGCTTATCCAAAGAAGGCTATACCTGCTCTGTCGATCGTTCTAA